TGTGGAGATAGGAATGACGGGCTGTAGACCTGTTGACACTCCGATGGATCCGAATTATAAACTTCTACCAAGATAGGGGGATCCACTCAACGATCCTGCAAGATATAGGCGGATGGTTGGTAAATTAAATTATCTCAGAGTGACTAGATCTGACAGCTCCTTTCCTGTGAGTGTTGTAAGTCAATTTATGGATTCTCCACGTGATAGTCATTGGGATGCAGTTGTCCGCATTCCTCGGTATATAAAATGGACTCTAGGAAAATGGTTATTGTTTGAGGATCAAGGCTATAAGCAGATCGTTGAATACTCAGATTCTAATTAGGCAGGATCAACCTCAGATAGATGTTCTACGTCTGGATATTATGTTTTAGTAAAAGACAATTTGGTATCTTGGGAGAGCAAGAAATATAATGTAGTTGCTCGGTCTAGTGCAGAAGCAGAGTATCGAGCAATGGCTATGGCAACATGTGAGCTAGTTTGGATAAATAATTGCTCAAGGAGTTGAAATTTGGTGAAATCAGCCAAATGGAACTTGTGTGCGATAATCAAGTTGCCCTTCCTATTGCATCAAATCCGGTGTTCCATGAGAGAACTGAACATATTGAGATTGATTGTCACTTCGTTAGAGAAAAGATACTCTCAGGAGATATTGCTACAAAGTTTGTGAAGTCGAATGATCAGCTTGCAGATATTTTCACCAAGTCCCTCATTGGTCCTCGTATTAGTTATATATGTAACAAGCTCGGTACATATGATTTGTATGCACCGGCTTGAGGGGGAATGTTAGTTAGTTAGTTGTTATATAAATAAGGGTAGTCCTATATGGAATAGGAGTAGCGTAGGTATTGTATATTATTATAAATAGGGGTACTTGTATTATAGTTAAGGCACATCAATAACATAATATTTTTTCCGTATATTATTTCTCACACTTATAAGCTCAACATATAACTTTTGACTGGTTTAGTTTACACAAACTTTTTATATTTATCAAACTTGTGAATGTATTTACAGTGTATGACTCGTTGTAACAANTCTCTCTCTCTCTCTCTCTCTCTCTCTACTTTTCTCTTTTATTATTTCATAGCACGTTGTCAGCACGAGACTCTAACCAACTAGGTAGAAGATAGTTGTTTTAATTTGTAGATACACTATTAATTAGTTGTCTAATATTTGAAAAATTAAACCACCAGTAGAGAGAAGATATAGGAATTTGCGTGAAGCTCTTACGTAAATGCATTGATAATCCTATACTAGGCATCTGCTTTGGTCACCATGCTTTGGGATACGTGCATGGTGTTCAACTTGTACATAATATCGAGCATAAATGATTGTAAATAGCTCCATGAACTTTTTTCAGGAATAAATTATGGATTTAATGTAAGTATTTTACCTTACTTTTCTCTTTTAAATTCTTAAAATTCTATAATTTGATTTTAAATACAAGCAAAGACAATAAATTTCGATTACTCTAACAGAGTTTATAATAAATTATAACCTCCCAAAGTGGTATAATTTTTATGTCTTTCCATGATCAAATTCATGTATGATTATGAGCATAAGAAGTGGAAACTCGTCCTATTGAATTTGCTCCATTCTCGTTCCCTTAAGAGAATGTGGTAGCAGTATGTGATAAGTCTGAAAGAAGAAAAAATTATTATGTATTAATGGATGTGGACGTGGCAATAGACGAAATTATAAGCGTCATCATTGCGATAACGAGAACAATAAGGATTCAAAATAATCTTTTACTCTGTGAAAGTAATGTTTGACATCAATTTTACGTGAGATTTTGTAAAGCGCATATAGATGATTATGGTTCATTCATGATGTGAATATAACAACATCTAATTTATGATCCATATTCATTCTTGGAAGAATATGAACATGCTAGTGGTAGTGAATATACCACACTCACCTTTAGAAGGAGGTTTGAGATAAAACAAGAAAATAATTTTATTATTATGGCACGAATAGTCACTGATCACGTGCCCATTGTGATTATGCCAAAATATTATGGCAATATGATTATTACAGGTCACAAGTAATGGAAGCAACATATCTTGTCTATAATGATTTTGACAATGACCATAATGTCAACTTTTTTCAAGAAAGAGATATCAACCACATGGATGTTGATGAATATGTGGTAGTACAAAATTAGTAGAGAGCTCTAGAAGAGTCAATTATACTATTTTAGAGAAATAAAGTTGATTATCAATAAGGTATCGTATCATAGTAAGTCTCAATTAAAATTATTGAGTTTTTTTAAAGTATTCGCGAAAGCGGTTGGTTACGTTGAGACTATAAATAAAGGAAAGATTTAACGTCTTCTATTACTATAATTTATAGCGGAGTAATATATATGTGAAAAATAACCAGCTTTATTCTTCAGTTTGTATTGCTCAAATAAAAGAATGACATAATAAAGTAGAAGTTTATTGATATAAAATTCCATATTATAATAAACTTGGAGTTTCTTGATAATTGCACACGTTATAGCGTAAACCTGAAATTTATCAATATTGATAATTTATCCGGTTGGCATAATTGGTTTAATTATGCTAATTTAAGTATGATGTGCAAACATATAAGAGAATTTACATGGGTAAATATTAAAGAACTAGAAATTCTATATGAATTCTCTTATGTTGCTCATTCTCATTAATTAATAGATCAACTAAAATTGGAATTGAATCCTATGAATGCTGGAAATATAAAAGGTGAATGTGTGCCCATTCACCTGCCATATATATCACATAAGATACTTACATGTGCGATTATTATTATTATCCCGCAACCTAGTATTTGTGAGGTAAGTTGCTCAATAGTTTAATTTAGAGCATAATTTTCAGACTTTCTATTCAAGACAATTCATCTTGATAAGTTGGTTTACATCACAAATGGTTTAGTAAAATAATTTATTGAGCGCCTCCACTTAATAACTAAACTATTATTTATGAGAATAAAATTATCTATATCAGTTTGATATACGTTATATACAAAAGTATATTATATTTTTTCCTCACAAGTGGTTCAGGGTCAGGAACCAATTGATTCCATCTTATTATTATTGATGTGCGGTGTATATTTTGAGTAACGCCATAACGCACAAAGGTGGGTTTCCGAACTACAAGAAAGTATAGAATTGACAATAAATTTTTTGCAACAACAATAATATCATTGCAAAATACAATAAATGGCAACAAATTTATTTAGTTGTTGCTATATCATAGAATTTTTACCCATAATTATTTTTTTGTTCGCAAAACTTTTAATATTATTTTCATATTTAACAAATAATATAATAAATTTTAAATATATATAAGTTAGCAACGACTTTTTAACAACAATATTATGGTTGTTGGCTAAGTTTAATAAATGGCAACAACGTGATTAAATTGTTGTTGTATCATAGAATGTTTAACCACAAGTTTTTTCTTATTACCAAATATTTTAGATTCTCGTTATTATGTTTTAGGAGTAATATAACAAATATAAAATATAAAAATAATTGGCAACAACAAATATTAGTTGTTGCTATTACACAAAAAATTTCTCAACAACTCCTTTGAGTTGTGGCCTAAAATTTAGTAAATCACATTTAGTTTTCCGCCAAAACAAACGCGCCAAAACAGGTTTCCCTATTCTATTACTTTTCCCCAAATTCTTGGCGCTCAATTTTAGTTTTCACTGCATCTAGTTTTTCTCTTTTCATTATCTAAACTAAGTTCTTGCATCTGCGTGTTCGATTTTTCGATCTCTTCCGTTGTGTTCAACCCAAAATCTGGTGAGTTCTTGCTTTCGATTTCGTTTCTACTCAATGTCTGGTGCTTTCTGCTTTTGATTTAGTTTAATCGTAATGTACGATACCTTAATCACTAGTCAATGATGGTCTACTGGGATTTTCTTGAATTATTTTGTAATATGAGTTGCCGTTGATCTTTTCTTGGTTGTTATGGTGAGTGTTTTCTATGTAATTTCCTTAAATTTTTTCATGGTCACGCTGTTTGATGTTCTTTTTTGGGAATTAATGGTGAGAGTGAGAATATTTGGGATTGATAATTTAGAATGTGGGCTATTGTCACGATCCAATTCCCACTACATGCCGTGATGGCGCCCAATATCGCCGCTAGGCAAGCAACAATAAACTATCCATGTAATTATTCATTTTAACATTTTTAAAGTCATATATTTTATTTTAATAAGGGAACGATTAATATGTGATTGTAATAATGCAAAGCATGAAATAAATGGGAGAGTGAAGTATTTAAAAATCAAACCATGAGATATCTACTAGAATCTCGGTATCACAAGTGCATGAGCAAACTAGTAGAATATACAAAACTTCCTATACTACTTTCTGGAGTAAGATAGACAAAAAAATAAATACAACAAGAAGAGACTCTGGGCGTTGCGGAGCGGGCATAGAGAGCCGCAGGCATAGAGAGCAGCTCACCACTAAGTCTCCGGGTAGCGGGAGTACATGCCTGAATGGCTGCCAGATGCACCTGCCTCAGATCTTACATGATTAGTGCAGAAATATAGCGTGAGTACATAAAGAACATGTACCTAATAAGTATCTAGTCTAACCTCGAAAAAGTAGTGATGAGGGATCGACATCGACAATTACTAAGGGTCAATAAATAAAGTGCAGAAATTATAGATAGGCATGAAATACATCGGTAATAACGAAATAATGAATAATAAGTGGTTCTTTAACTAAATATCAATTAAAACCTCCAACTATCACCTACTAATTTATCTATTATATAAAAGAGAGATGATGGTCGACCAATGACATCTTTGCAAATCAAGCTTCTTTTTAAGGGTAAAATAGTAATTGTGTCATAATTGTTAAATAGAAACTCTAGAAGAATCCGATTTTTCATTCTCATCTCTAACTAAAAAAAGATAAAAACAGACCGCACAAGCAGCAACTCTTCTCTTCATCTTTTCATCCGGGTATGTTTTCCATTTTATTTTTGCTAAAATTTCTTTCTGTTTGTTTTCGTTCTTTCTACTTTTCTGTCTACCTTTGTTGAATATGTTTTGGTTTTTGCCCTTTTTTTTGCTCTTTTGCTTCATTGTTGTTTCCTTAACATTATCGTTTTTTGCTTTTCTAATTTTATTACGTTGTTCTCTCGGTATTCCTAACAACAACTTGTTGTTTCTCTCTCCCTCTGGAGTAATTCTCGAGGCTGACATATATATTCTTTTTGGTTTTTGTTTTGCTTTTAAGGAAGATTTCCCCCCCTCATAAATAGGAGCTTTGTATTGAACTATGATCAGATTTTAAATAAGTATTGCGAAAATGAAACAGAGATTACTTTTTGTTCTTTTCACATTGTGGTTTTATTTTTGTTTTATATATAATATGCTATTAACTAGCACGTTAATATTTTGGGCCGGCTCTACAAAAAAAATGGTTCTGCTCTCTTAAATTTTGTTTATAAGAATTTGTCTCACTAAAAACTTAATCTTGACAAAGCATTCCAATCAGGTGTTACAGTATATTAGCATAATGAAAAATAACACAAAGTGACAATACTCTGAAAATCCACCAAACCTAAAGGTACTGACTTAAAGCCAATGTAGAACCAATAGTTTAAGTTATGCGTAACCTTAAGAATTGGGGCTCTGTAAAACTTTAAGGTCGATTCATCCTACTATGCAAAATAGTTGAATAGAAATTTCTTGTATATGCTTTCATAAATAATCTTACTGGTTTAGAAATTTCTTCTAAAATCTAGGAAATAAGGTCACATCCAAAGGACCTATGCGCACAAACTAAAGGACTAAAAGCCTGGGAACTTCAAATTTTGAGGATTCCAGGTCGAACTGCTCCAATAGGTCATCAATCTGTATGCATTTTTCAAAATGGGGTATAAATGTTGTTGTATTAGAGTTACTCATTTGTCAATGATGAGTATTTTGCTATAACTGTAAAACTTTCATTTTTTTTAATCATATACTGGTTTTAGAAGCAACAAACACGCGTCCTTTTTTTATTTATTCCCCTATATATTTTCTTTCCCCTTCCCCAAAAACTTTAGTCATTATCATACTTCGGATCTTTAATTACCAATATTGTTAAGGTTAAAATTTTCTTGAATTTAACAGTGGTCGACTTGAAGAGAACGAGTGCAAGCTAAGATTGTTCATGTGATCCGATGTTTTGGAAAAATTGCAAATATTTGATCGTTTGCATGACATAATTGGACACTTTTTACCACAAGATGAGCAATTAGATCTTCATAAAGTGACTTTTTTTGGTCAAGATAAAGTAAAGTATTCTTATTATTAATTATTTCTTTATTTCTTATTTGGAATTGAGGAGTAGTTCTTATTGTTGTAATCTTTAAGGATAGATAAAAATATATCGATATTTAATCCTTGAATGAATAAGTTTAAAAAATAATGGAATGTTTCTTCCAGTTTCCTGCTGAGAAGCTAGAGGGTCTATAATAGCTTGACGAAAAAATAAAGTTTTGAACATTACAAGGTTTATCAACGATGCGTATGTACCATGCTCATTCAGATCATGTTAACAATAGCAAGTAACATAAAAAAATTCTTCCCTTCAAATACACATTCATATTTTGGTGTATGTGAAGAAATTACCAACCTCTTGAGTGGATCTCTTTGATAGAAAAAAGTACTTCGCACAAGTCATGTATGTGTATATTATAATTGCCTGGTCTATGACTATAATAAATATGCTTTGCTTATAAAGTCTTAATATGCACCGTGCTAGAAGATGTCTTCTTAGTGATCTATATCGCCCCAACAAATTAAAGTATTTATAGACTTGGAGAACCTATCATGGATTTCATGAGCCATGAGCCTACCTCATATGAAGAGGTCCTTTTCTAGCAAAGAACTAAAACTATAGAGTTAGTATCAATATAGTAAAAGTGCTTCTTTTTTATCCATGGAATGATAACTAATAAGGCGTCATTGACTAACCACATAGGTTTCTTCTTCATTAGTTTTTATATGGGCTTAGATACCAAGTCACTAAATTTATAAGCAGTAACTTTGTTGCTACTCTGCTTCAACACTTTCTTAATATCAACAAGTAAGCATGCTAAAGCAATATTATCCTCTGTTTCTATTTGAATGAGAAGCTCACCATATTGCACCAGTATTTATTATAATAATATATATGCATAGATCTTTTACAAATTAGTTCTTGAAGCTTCCAGAATAAGGCTCCCGCACCATTAGATGTCCTATGCCAAATTTTGCAGCATAACTTATGGTAGTTGATTTGTAGTTCTTAGCTATCTATTTGGTTATTTTTGCCGTTATTGTTTGTTCATTTATGTGAAGTAACTACTAAACTAAGTACCATATTCTTTTTGCAACATGTATCTCTTGAAATGTATGCTCCTCAAGTCCATCATTTTGTACCGTAAATTTCTAAAAAAGTTATACTGTTCTATTTGAAAGTCAGCAAAAGACAAATATGTAATACTAGAATGAATTGCATGGGTGGTTAGACGTTTGATTGAAAGAGTTTAAACATTTAATGAAGTTAACATAGAAGGCTTGACGATATTCAATATACTCGAGCATAGAAATTAAATTTTTTTGCAGAGCTTAATTACTTCCCTCGATTTATAGCAAGGCACAAGTTTTCAGTTCAAAAGAATACATGTCTCAAAAGATATTAAAGCTCCACTCTTTTTTCAAGTTTTGCTACAGTTCAGTTTTGGTCTAATTGCAGTTTTGCTGCATTTTTTTTTCTTTTGCAGTTTTGTGTTCAGTATTTGCTGCAGTTTTGGTCTAGCTATGAAGTAATTTAAATGCAATATTTGTCCAGTTTTGATAATGTTTTTTATGGAATGGATCTTGAAGATATGAATTAAGGTTTTTTAAAAGGTAGAAGAAGACTGTCGATCAAGGGAGAGCTTTTTTCATGTTGGATAGCCACATCATTAATTATGTTATAGTTAAATATGTGTGGCATCTGATGTGGAGGGTCATTAGTAGTAAAGGTATATGTGGGCCAAAAATTAGATGGCAGGGGTATAATTGCTGCTAAAATTTAACGGAGGATAAAAGTAACATATTTTGAATAGTTCAAGGGTAAAAGTCACATGATTGGAGTGCAATTTCATTTTAGGAACATCAACATTAGTGGTATTATCCCTTGATGCCGTAAAATAGAGTTCCAAGTAGCTCGATATGAAATCAACGTATGCTATCTTCTTTCATTCATTCTCATTGCACTTCACCTAACAGTTTTTTTTTAAATATAGTTTTGCTTGGAATTTGCTTTTAAATTTGTATTTCATTCCGATGTTTTGCGTGAAAGTACAAGTAGTGGATTGATATACCGTCTTTGCATATTTGGTAGGGACTAATTCACCTGTCCACTTGTAGTTCTTGATAGTTTGGTTTGCTATACGTTTAGTTCAGTACATGAAATGCACAAGGATTATATGATTCATGTGTATTTATAAATGGTATGAGTACATGCATTCACATATGTGCTATCTTTTAACATATATGAAGTATGTATTATGAATATGCTTCTGTGATGACTACTTTCGTCTTCTTCTATTTTTCTTTGTTTGCTGATTATAACTACTGAGCGAAACTCATAGCAAAATTTACTTACCATAGTTGCCGAAGAGTTAAAGTTCCTCCTCCTTCACTTCGAATGGTAACAGATATGAACTATTCATCTTGGTACCTCTTTTTGCTCAATCCCTCAGCATACCGCTCTCTATAAATTTATGTAATATATCATTATGATGGTAAGGCTTAAATCACTTCAAGCACTTCTATGAAATAGCCGGTTTTGGATTGCGTATGTGTTTTAGTTTATTTATTTTATTGTCTTTATATTGTAGTTATGCACATGCTTCAATTGGTTCTGACATGCCTGCAGAAAGAGGTACTTTGTACTTTATGTTGTCTTCATTTTTATTTTTGTGCAAGCTATTTATTTAATTGTTTCTCCTGATTTAAGCAAATTAGTTTGATTTCAATGACAACCTTGATGTGTTATGTTCAATGATATGTTTTGTTATAATTATAATTGTGTGTGTTCAGTATCTTGGATGTCATAGAAATTTCATTTATTCAGAGACTATATTATATCTCTAAGATACCCTTTCATTGGCGGATGATTGGTGCATTTCTTCTTTGAATTAAACGACTGATAAAGAAGTTACTTACTTTTACAGGAGACTTCTGATGTTTTTATCATATTACAAATTCATAGATTTCCTTAAGTTGTGACATTCTTACCCTGCCCAACCAGTTGAAGCAAGTAAAGACACTAAGACCAAGTAACAATCAAAGCTTATAATATGGACAAAGATGTATGAATGAATTGAATCTCCTATTTATCTTGACTTATTAATGGTAACTCAGCCATGCAGTTACAGTAGCTACTTACTAGCAGAAGATGTTTCAAAAACTAAGTCATGAACAAGTAGTGCCTTTGGTCTATTATTTTGTATAGTTTATCTTCGCGAATTTAATATCATTGAGGGAGTGAGATTTATTGTTTATGAATGCGTAGATTCTAAATATGTATGTTCTGAGTAGTAGGCGCGCATTCTTTAACATTTGTCGCTATTTAATAAGAATGGACTGTGCTTTTGTGTTAGTGGAATTATGATTGTTCAAACTTCTAAACCTATTTAGGGTTTAATCACATATGCAACTAAATATTAGACACAAATTTCCTAAACTATATCAGTATTTTGAAATGTTGGGCCTGGGCTATGCACGGGCAAATTTCATCTAGTCAACAAATAAAAGCCATCAAGTAATTATAAATTCTCAAGGCATGGAAAAAACATCAAGTATAATTGGACTCCGAGCAATATCATACATGATTTATGCTGAGGTCGTATGGCCAGATCCAGAATAGTGTATACACTGCCGAGGGTCGACCGATGCGAATCATAGATGCATCTATTATACTGCCGAGGCATTCGGCCCGATCCACTAAAAACTCCGATTAATGACTACTACATAAGAATAATGCTCAAGGAAGGTATGATTTCCACCAATAGTCAAATAACTCGCCAAAACTCAAAGTAGGGAAGCTCAGTCTTTACAAATCCTTTATCCAATTTCAAACATAATTTAAATAATTAAACTAACAAGTTGGGTACAAATAATACAAGTAATAGAGGTAGAGTTTTAAAAGTACTTAGACATAAGCATGATTTTTAGCTATATGCAGATTCTCATCACATCGCGCGCATGTAGCACCCACAATTATTAGCAAACAATCATTTATAGCACCTACGGGGAAAATTCTCTCTTACAAGGTTAGGCAAGAGACTTATCCCGTTTTCAATCTTTCTTTCCGGTTCACAATTCACGCTAAAGCCTTAAACCGGTGCCACACAATCCAAAACTAGCCAAATATTGTATAAATTAATCAATATACGCTCAAAAGTTTATAATTTAACTATTAGAATAATTACCCAACCCAAATTGAAAAATTCCTAAAATTCACCCCGCGCCCACGTGCCCGAATTCCAAAAAGTTTTGTAAATAAAAGTTACCCATAACTTCACAAACCTAAATATATAATGTCTACTTAATTCCATAATCATTTTCGTGGTCTAATCCCATTTTTATCAAAACCTAAGTTTTTCAACTAAATCCTAAAATTTTCACAATTTATATGTTAAAATCTATCCATAATCTATGTATTTAACTCACATTGTGTAGAAATCACTTACCTTCAATAGCTAGGTGAAAACCTCTCTCGTCGAAGCTCTAAAATCGTCCAGCAAATGAGAGAAATGAACAACATAGGTAAAATCTTGACTTTAAATTAAACACTGCCTAGGCCTGCCTTCTTCGCGATCGCAAACAAGCTCTCACGATCGCGAAGGCAAAACTGTCCAGGTCCCTAAAACCTCTTATGCAATTACGAGAAAGCCTCTGCGAACGCGAAGCACAGGCCTTGCCAACCTAAGCGAACGCGACCAGCCCTTCGCGAACGCGAAAGGCATTTCACCTGCCCAGTCCCCCAGGCCAAGCCTTCTTCGCGAACGCGATGACCAGTGGCCCAGAGCATCGCGATCGCGAGCTCCTTTATGCGAATGCGTAGAACAAAATCTCCCAGCCCAATTCCTTTATCACGAGCGCGAGGCCTTCTCCGCGTTCGCGAAGAAGGAAACCAGAACAACAAATAGCAGATTTTTGAACTCAACTCCGAGTGGTCCGAAATTCACCTGAGCCATCTAAGACCCCATCCAACTGCACCAATAAGTCTATAAACATAATAAGGACCTGCTCTAACTCTCGGAACACGTAAAACAACAACAAAATTAAGAATCGCATCCCAAAACCAAATTGGATCAAATGATGAACTTCAAGCTTTTCAACTTACTCTGAACGCACCGAATCATACTTAGACTACTCGGAATGACACCAAATTTTGCGTACAAGTCATAAATTATCTTACAGAACTATTCCCTAGCTCGGAATCCCAAATGGACCTCGATAACATCAAAGTCTACTCCAAACCAAATTTAAAGAACTTGAAAACCTTCAATGCGCCAACTTTCAATATTAAGCGCCGAAACACTCCAAGATTATCCGATACTAGATCCGAGCACACGCACAAGTCAAAAATCATCATACGAACCTATTGTAACTGTCAAATCCCGGTTCCGAGGACGTTTACTAAAAAAGTTGACTCAAGTCAAACTTAGCTATCTGAGGTCACTATTAAGGAACCAAATGTTTCGATTTCAACCTGAACCCTTCCAAACCCAAGTCAACCATCCCCGCAAGTCATAAAACAGTAAAGGCATATACAGGGAGTTTTAATCAAGGGAACGTGGATCTAGAAATCAAAATGATCGTTCGGGTCATTACATTCTCCACCTCTTAAACAAACCTTCGTCCTCGAACAGGTCTAGAATCATATCTGGAGTGCAGAATAGATGTGGATATCTGCTCTGAATGTCCTTTTCGGTCTCCCAAGTCGCCTTCTCGACTGGTTGGCCCCTCCATTGGACCTTTACCGTAGAAATCTCCTTAGACCTCAACTGACGAACCTGCCTGTCAATAATGGCAATTGGCTCCTCCTCAAAACCCAAACTCGCATCTAGCTATATCGTGCTGTAGTCTAACACATGCGAACTGTCGGTATGATATTTTCGAAGCATAGACACGTGGAAAACTTGATGAACTCCCGATAGATTTGGAGGCAAAGCAAGCTCATACGCAACCTCCCCAACTCGCCTCCACACCTCAAATGGGCCAATTAACCTTGGGCTCAACTTGCCTTTCTTTCCAAATATCATGATTCCCTTCATCGGCAAGACTTTCAAGAGAATCTTCTCGCCCACCATAAATGATAAATCACGCGCCTTCTAATCCGGGTAACTCTTCTGTTTGGATTGTGCTGTGCGAAGTCGATCCCGAATCAACTTTACCTTTTCCAAGGCATCCTTCACTAAATCAATGCCATATAACCTAGCCTCATCGGGCTCAAACCATCCGATGGACTAACGACATCGCCGACTATATAAAGTCTCAAATGGAGCCATCTCGATGTTGGACTGATAACTGTTGTTATAAGCAAACTCGGCCAAAGTCAAGAACCGATCCTACTGCTATCCGAAGTCAATCACACATGCCCTAAGCATATCCTCCAGGATCTAAATTGTCCGCTTCGACTGCCCGTCGGTCTGCAGGTGAAAGGCTGTGCTGAGCTCTACCTGGGTACCTAACTCACTATGTACTGCTCTCCAGAAATGCAAAGTGAACTGTGGGCCTCTATCTGAAATGATCGAAGCAGGAACACCATGCAACCGGGCAATCTCCTGAATGTAAATCTGGGCCAACCTCTCTGAAGAGTACATAGTCATCACTGGAATAAAGTGCGCTGACTTGGTCAACTTGTCGACAATGACCCAAACGGTATCAAACTTTCTCAATGTCCGCGACAACCCAACTATGAAATTCATAGTGATGCACTCCCATTTCCACTCCGGTATAACCATCTGTTGAAGTAGGCCACCTGGCCTCTGGTACTCATACTTACCTGCTGGCGATTTAGGCATCTCGTTACATACTCAACTATGTCATTCTTTATCCGCCGCCACCAATAATGCTGCCTCAGGTCGCGATATATCTTCGTAGCACCTAGATGAATAGAATACCGAGAATTATGTGCCTCCTCTAGAATTTTCTCCCTTAATCCAATAACATTAGGAACACATAGGCGACCCTGGAGACGTAGAACACCATTCTCACCGATAGTAACCTCCTTGGCATTACCCTGTAGTACCATCTCCCTAAGAACTAGCAAGTGCTGATCATCGTACTGACGAGCCTTGATCCGCTCAAATAATGAAGATTGAGCCACAACGCATGCAAGAACTTGACTGGACTCTTAAATATCCAACCTCACAAGTCTGTTAACCAAGGACTGAATGTCCAAAGCCAATGGTCTCTCCTCTGCTGAAATGAATGTCAAATTACCCATACTCTCGACCTTTCTGCTCAAGGCATACACAACCACATTCGCCTTGCCCGGATGATAAAAGATGGTAATATTATAGTCTTTCAATAACTCAAGCCACCTGCGCTGCCTCAAATTGATATCCCTCTACTTGAACAATTGCTGCAAGCTGCGATGATCGGTGTAAACCTCACACGACACCCCATAAAGATAGTGCCTCCAGATCTTGAGAGCATAAACTATCGCGACCAACTCCAAATCATGTACGGGGTAATTCTTCTCGTGGGGCTTCAGCTAACGTGAAGCATATGCAATAACTCGCCCTTCCTGCATCAATACACAACCCAGGAAAACACGTGAAGTGTCACAATACACTATACATCCCTCAACTAAAAGGCAACACTAACATTGGTATTGTAGTCAATGCGGTCTTGAGCTTCTGAAAGCTCGCCTCACAAACCTCATACCATTAGAACAGGGCACCCTTCTGTGTCAATCTAGTCAAAGGTGCCGCAATAGATGAGAAGCCCTCTACGAACCGACGATAATACCCTGCTAACCCCAAGAAAGCTCATGATCTCGGCCGCTGTGGTAGAATGAGGCCAACTCTAGACTACCTCGATTTTCCAAGCATCTACCTTAATACCCTCGCCTGATACAACATGCCCCAAGAATGCCACACAATCAAACCAGGACTCGCACTTGTAGAACTTAGCATATAGCTTCTGTTCCCGCAAGGTCTGAAACATAACTCTCAAATGTTGCTCGTGCTTCTCCATACTACGCGAGTAGATCAATATGTCATCAATGAAGACATTGACAAATAAGTCAATATATGGCATGAACACTCGATTCATCAAATCTATAAACGTCATCGGGGCGTTGGCCAAGCCGAAGAACATCACTCAAAACTCATAGTGGCCATATCTAGCCTGGAAAGCCGTCTTCGGAACATCTAAAGCACGAATCTTAAGCTAATGATACCCAGATCTCAAGTCAATCTTAGAGAACACCCTTGCACCCTGCAACTGGTCAAATAAATCATCAATACACGACAACGGGTACT